AAGAAAAAAAAAAAAGAAGAGAACAAAATATACATTAATATAGTGTTTTAAAAATATTTAAATAAAAAATTATATTTATTGATTGCTTTTTCTGATCACTTAATTAGCTGTCCTGGTGTTTAATTTTTTTTCATACCATTACAGCAGTAAATGGACAAAAATTTAATTCTATGTATATAAAGAGGCAATGAAGGTACACAAGGCATACATATACTTGTGAAAAGATTCTAGTAATGAGGGAACAAAACCATTGTTCTGCTGTTGAATATACTTTCAAATTCTCTGCTCTCCCCCACCCAACACACACCTAAATTTTCGTTGCAATATCCTCCTTTATAATTCTAGGCATATTGTTATATATTGTGTTTTATCAATTAATTTTGTTGGTAAGCCTCTGTAAGATTTACTTACCTTGGAATGTTTCATTTTTCTTAAGAACATTAACATTCAGTGCATCTTTACCTTTGTGAAATAAATGAGCAACTGATTCAAAGCAACAAACACTTTTCAGACTATATATACTGAATCACAAAAATGATTATTTTTTAAAGTCATGCTAGTAGAACTCCTCAACTGAAGAATGTAATTTTTGCACTTAAGTTCAAAGGTCTGTGCAGCACATTCACATCACAGGTGTTTGCACTTTCAATATAAGTAAACAGTGAAAGGAAAAAAATAATTGTTTGGATTAATTCTGGCCCTAGTACCTACAAAACATTAACATCCTAATTTTATCACCATTACTAGCAATAGAGAGGAAAATGGCTTAAGGAGTATGAAGGAGAAAAGGTGGAAGTAGTTAGATATTTGTAGGTACTGGAACACCTATAAAGAGAAACAGAACTAGTTCTGGTTCATTATCCGGGTTAGATATTTTGGGATAAATATTCCAATGTGTTGCTACTAGAGTATATTTCTTTGCCATATGTTCTATAATATCTTTACCTAGTGTATTTTGTTATAAAGGATGAAGCTAGGCACCTACAATTCTTCCAATTTATACACCCGTAGAGCTTTAAAAACAGTATATTAAAAATGTGAACTCTTAAAATTGTTGACTTTTTCCTTTTTTTTTTTGACTAATTTAAAAAAAGGCAGTTCCAACTTGCCAACTCAGGATCTTATCATACCCTCTTTTCAAGAAGAAAAATCAATTTTTTAAAAGAAAACCTCTGTTGGAAGGGAAAACTTGAATGTTATGTTTATAAAATGGTCAAACAAAAGTAATTTTAAAAATATATTTTTAAAATTTTTGAAGATTTTTGTCCATTTTTAGGAGGAACCATAACTGAGATGCTAAATATGTTTATAAGGTCAAACAAAAGTAATTTTAAAAATATATTTTTAAAATTTTTGAAGATTTTTGTCCATTATTAGGAGGAACCATAACTGAGATGCTAAATTATCTCCATCATTTTTCTTTCAATCTCCAGAAATTAAGCATCAATGTAATTACTAGCTCTGCTGATTTTTAAAATAATATTTATCTGCATCCAAGTGTTCTCTTTGGTGTTGCTGAAGATAACTAACAAACTTAACACAGCTAATTGTTTCTGTCACATTTGTACTTTTATCATATTATATTTTCATACTCAGTGAATTTCATTTTGCCATTGGGCCAAGTAAAGTTCCTTGTGACTTCCACTGCGTAATTACTAGCTCTGCTGATTTTTAAAATAATATTTATCTGCATCCAAGTGTTCTCTTTGGTGTTGCTGAAGATAACTAACAAACTTAACACAGCTAATTGTTTCTGTCACATTTGTACTTTTATCATATTATATTTTCATACTCAGTGAATTTCATTTTGCCATTGGGCCAAGTAAAGTTCCTTGTGACTTCCACTGCTATTTCTCATTTAGAATTAAGTTGCAAACTATGTATAGAAAATTCAGGCAAGTTCTGAGGCATAACTTAACAAGCACACATAACTATTATCAAGAGCTGTATCCTGGGAAAACTGTAAAAATAGAATTGATAAGCTATATTTGTGTTTCAATCGGTTATTATAAAATATTTACACAGCAATTATACCATATAATCAGCCAATTTCAAAGGTCTGTTTCTACATTTCAGAAGTATTTCAAGATTGTTGTTGCTTCCAGGTTTGTCTTAAGCACCTTCCTGTCTAAGACTATAACACTGAAGAAAGTGAACAAATATGTGACTTAAAATTGGTCATTTTGGAAAGAGAAAAGTCCACATATCATTTGTGGTAACTGTTTTTTCACTATCAGTTGTGTATTTCTTAATAAAATACAGGTAAAATCTGAGAAGGTAATGAAAAGTTATCATTGGCTTGAAATCAAATATATTATGAAGAGATTTAAGGTGATTAGTATGGCTGAGACATCACAAAGCACAGACAAATAGGACCTACTGGCAGGAAGTGGTTAATATGAAACAGCACCAAGCTCAAGTAAGGGTTTTTGAGTCCACAGTTTTATGATCAATGGATGTTTAAGTGAATCAAGCTGCTTACTCAAGTCAGGCACGAGTATGATGCAGCCAGTAGTGGAGATAGAATATAGGTCCTCTTCCTTCCTCTTTCTGTGCCAGGATACTTATTTTTTATTAAATCAGCTGTGAAATATTGTAATACATCAGTGACTGATACCTGACCAGCTGAGATTATGTCACAAGAAGGGAAATTGTAATTATTAGAAAAGGAACATTATTCCTGTGTTTTAGAATCATAGAATCATAGAATCATTAAGGTTGGAAGAGACCTCTAAGATCATCGAGTCCAACCATCAACCCAACACCACCAGGCCCAATAAACCATGTCCCTAAGCGCCTCATCTACACGCCTTTGAAATACCTCCAGGGATGGGGACTCAACCACTTCCCTGGGCAGCCTCTTCCAATGTTTAACCACTCTTTCAGTAAAGACATTTTTCTTCACGTCCAATCTAAACCTCCCCTGGCGCAACTTGAGGCCATTTCCTGTCGTCCTATCGCTAGTTACTTTCAGGTAGTTGTAGAGAGTGATGAGGTCTCCCCTCAGCCTCCTTTTCTCCAGGCTTTTCTGGGGGTCATTGTCAATTTGCTTAAAAACAAACCAAAACAAACATAATTTGAAGATAATACCAAAAATATCTGCTTCAAAATTAACAAAAATTGATAAAATATAAATCTGAGTATCCAGTATAATCTGTCCTTGGGAAACTCATTAAAAATAATTACCCAGTCCAAATAAAGATCAAATCTCTTTAACTGAAGAATTTAGGGGGTGATGTATTTTTTAAAATGATGGATTAATAAGTATTCTCTAAAGAATTACTCTCAATTATTTGCTATCCTCTGTCAACTATCATGAAAGACTGAAACTCACCTGTCCAAACAATGTCTAAAGTTGGGCTGCATATTATTCCTGAATTTATGTTAATCTTCACCTTCACTGATTTGTAGTAATGCTATTTAAAAATAAAATATCTTTTTCTCTGTATTTTGTGGTTTAACACTTTGCTCAGATATTTTGGTGTCTTTTATTTTACAAGATTAACAATGCTAGGGTATCCAAAGAAGCTGCTCTCTTGCAATTTTCACAGTTATGACATTAACTTACATATTTCCTCAAAAATAAGCAAAATACATTTCTATGCTTTTTATACATTTCCATTTGTATGATTTTTTTTTCATCAAAATTCCAGGCAAACCTTAGTATTAATACTGTCATTAATTTAGGAAATTCAGGGAATCCATTAATTCAAAATACATCAGCACAAGCAAGCTCCCTTTTAACCAGGCAAGAGCTAGACAAGAGAAGTTTCCATACCTCTAAATATCTAGATGTTACTATGGCCTTCATCACTATAATATCTGGATACTTTTAATGGGTTTGGAAAACATCTAACAACAGATGGAATTGGCACACAATAGTTGACTGGTTAAAAATTTCATCAACAAACTTTCAGTTTCATTTTTAAAGTGAGAAATAAACACATATAGAGTTTACTTCTGTCTTTTAATTGGCCTGATTAAAAAATAAGAAAAAATACTGGTATAATTTAAATAGTATTAGATTAATAAACAATATTCTCAGTATAATTCCTATCACAAAATCAGAGAATAACTGAGACTAGAAGCCTCCAGAGATCATCTAGTCCAGTCCTCTTGCTCAGAGAAGGGTCATTTAGAGCAGACTGCTGAGGCCCATGTCCAGTCAGGTTTTGAATATCTCCAGGGATGGAGACTCCACAACCTCTCTGAGCAACCTGTTCCAGCATCCAATCTCCCTTACAGTAATAGTTTTTCTATTTTGTTTAAAGGGAATTTCCTGTGTTTCAGTTTGTACCCATTGCACCTTATTCTGTTACTGGGCACCACTGAGAATTCTGGCTCTGCCTTCTTTACTTCCTAGGTATTTATACACATTGATGAAATCCCCCTGCGCTTTCTCTTCTCCAGGCTGAACAGTCCCAGCTCTCTCAGCCTCTCCTTATATGTCTGATGCTCCAGCCCCTTAATCATCTGTGTCACCCTTCGCTGGACTCGCTCCAGTATGCCCATGTCTCTCTTGTACTGGGGAGACCAGCACTGGATACACCACCCCAAATGCATCTCACCAGTGCTGAATAGAGGAGAAAGATCACATCCCTCAAGCTGTTGCTAACACTTTGCTGAATGTGTCCCAGGAGGCTGGTGGCATTCTTTGCCACAAGGGCACATTGCTGGCTCATGTTCAACTTGGTGTCCACCAGGACCCCCAGGTCCTTTTCTGCAAGCTCCCCATTTTTCTGAGCCTTTGAGGTCCCTCTGAATGACAGCACAATGCATGGTGTATCAGACACTCATCCAGTTTTGTATCATCTGCAACACTGCTGAGAGTGCACTCTGTCCCATCATATAGGTAATTTATGAAGATATTAAACAGTAGTGGCTGCAGTATTGATCCCTGGGGCATACCATTACTGACTGACTGCCAGCTATCCTTCATGCTGCTGACCACAACCCTTTGAGCTTTGCAGTTCAGCCAGTTTTCAATCCACCTCACCGTCTGCTTATCTACTTGGTACTTCATCAATTTGTCAATGAGGATGTCATGGGAGACTGTCTTGAAAGGCTTGTTAAAGTCAAAATAAGCAACGTTCAGTGCTCTCCACTCAACCACCAAGCCAGTCATCTCATTGTAGAAGGCTATCAGGTCTGTCAGAACTGATTTCCCATTTGTAAATCCATGGTGACTACTTTCAATCATCTTCCTGTTCTTAATATGTTTGGAGAAGGTGATCATGACTATTTGCTCTATCACCTTCCCATGTATAGAGTGGAGGCCAACTGGCCTATAGTTCCCTCGATCCTTCTCTTTGCCCTTCTTGAAGATAGGAGTGACATTTGTCTTCTTCTAGCCCTTGGGAGCCTCCCTCAACCGTCATGACCTTTCAAAGGTAACTGACCTCCCTCACCACTCATGGATGCACCCCATCAGGTCCCATGGGTTTGTGCATGTCCAGTTTGTT